GTAGAGCAGTGTTATTGTAATAAGCCATAAATCCAGTGTCTTTATTAAGACCATGATTTTTAGTGTCTAGCAAAGTCATTAATTTAAGCTCCCAGGCATGACTTTTGAAAGTGTTGTGCAGGTTTCCTTTGAATCAGATATAGAATGATTGCTTTGTGAAAATTATTCACCGACACGTGATACGATGTTTTTGTCTTTTATCATTGTCCTGTGTGAGTTCATTCGAGAGAGCAGTGATTGTGTGTTTTCACTGACATGGTTGTTATGAGGGCACTCGGTGCACTGGATGAGGTATACCATGTTGTGATAGGCATGTCTCTCTTATTTCATCTTTATCATTTTGAATCATTTTGGTTTTGATGCTTATATTATATGAAAATAACAAACATATATGTGAAATATAATATTAATATTTCATATAATGTAAAAGTCCAAAAGAGCTGAATCAAAATGATAAAAATAAACAAAAATGTTTTGACTTTATTGACACAAAAAGAGAAAGGTGAAACAACTTGTTTAAACTTTTCCCCATCAAAAATGTTGTCAGAATTGACACAACGCCACAAAACATTTAAGTGAAACAGCATTTTTCTGCTATAGCAGAACCAGCACCAGCAAGCAAATATCAGGAGAAGTTTTTGTAATCAGGGCATTCAGGATAGCACTTGCATCACTTGGCAGCAGATGGTACGTTGCATTAGATGAGAAGGGACGCTATGTTCAGACTTTTGTTTTGTTAGTGCTTTTAACTGATATGTAGCACTGTGTTGTGCGTTGCATGATTGACAGATAACTGTAAGAAAGTAGGAATAAGATACACAGAATGCTAAAATAGACACTGCAGTAAAGGTTCCCAATGTAACTAAATGTGGAGTGTTGCCAAGAAAATCTATGGAGTAGTTACAAGTCTGATAGTCACTTTACTGACTTCAGTGAAATTAGTCAGAGGGAATTTTACCTGTGGATTTAAGTGCTTTCTTAACATTAATATCATAACCCCTTTGACTCCAGTTGGAGCTGCAAGAGCTCACTATCTCTGAAAATTACACCAGGTGTCTCAATTTGTGCACGCATAATCAGTGGTCACTTTTGGACCTTAATCTTGCATTGTTTCAGTTTCCCCATTGTAAAATGGAAATAATCATATTTTCCACTCCACTCAAGTGTTGTGAGGCTAAACTCACTAATGTTTGTGAGGTAGTCAGGTACTATGATATTGAGGACTATAGAAAAACACCTACAAATGATTACAAAAACAACAAGGTAATTAGATGTTTGCATTTAAACACAAGGTTAGTGCAGTACAGGTCTGAATCTGTGGTCTTTTACATGCAAGAAGCAAACATTAGGCAACAAAGGAAGGGACGAGAAACAAAACAAAGGGGATCAAGGTGAGCAGAACACGGATTAATGCAAAGTGAAGAGAAAGGGACAACAACAAAAAGCCATTGCCTTGCACAGGTGAGCAAGCCACCTGATGACTAGACCTTCACTGGATTATAATTTATAATACCTATGACTTAATTTTCTAAAAGTGCAACAAAACACTGTCAATAACAGCCATGTTGTACGGAAGAAGGACGATCTAGTGGTTAAAGCACAGCACTGGCACTCAGGAGCTAAGGAGTTCCATTTGTAGCTCTGCCACTGACTTACGAATTGACCCTAGGCCTGGCAATTAACTTCCCACCCGGGAATAAAGGGGTAACACCACCTCCCTACTTCAGAAGGTGGGGATTATGAAGCTTAATATTTAATGTTTGTAAAGCACTAGGCATTTCTCTAGATTTTTCCATAAGAAGATCTTAAATATTAATGATTAAAATAAAAGTGTATAAATAATTAAAATAATCACTCTGAGGCAAATCTTAGAAACTGCACACAAGCCAGGTACATGGGCTGTGTGTAGGAGTGCCCGCCCCCCACCTCCAGGGGAAGGAATCCTGCCCTCCAGGCTTGTGAGCAGCAGGGGGTAGTGGGCAGGTATATCCAGGCTGCAATTAAAAACCCACAGCTAGCCCATGCCAGCTGACTTGAGCTTGCATAGCTCAGGCTAAGGGGCTGTTTAACTGCAGTGTAGATGTTTGGGCTCAGGCTTTAGGACCCTGCGAGGTGGGAGGGTCCCAGAGCTTGGGCCTGAGCCCTGTGAGCACAAGTCAGCTGTCACGGGCCAGCTGCAGTGTTGACATACCCAGGAAGTCTGACATGTCTGAGGTAGTTAGTTGGCAAGTCATTGAACCAAAACACCTTCCATTCCCCTGGCTTCTATCAAGTCCCTTCTTATTACTGGAGTGCAGGCAGGTGCTCCAGAGCCGTGCTCTGGCAATGTGCATTGGGTGCAGTCCCACTTAGGAGCTCCACATCCTGCTTCTCACCCCAGTTCTATTATGTTCAGGGCTCTCCACACCAGCAAGTTGTGGGCAAAATTTGCTCATATGGACCTAATCAGTCCTTATTTGAGCAAATCCACATTGCTTCCAATGAGAATACTCCTTTAATATTAGGTCTGGGCCCTGCAATGTTCAATAGAATGATTCCATGCCCTCGTGCTTGTTCACAAAGAGCGCTCCATACCCACAACCCTTATGGTATGAAGAATATTTCAGCTCTGTCTCCCAGCTCCTCCCCCTCTGTGACCCATGGCTCCAGGAAATGAAAAGTTGTTTTTCTCTGCTGACAGCTGCTTTCCACTTCCGGCAGCACTGCCCTGGTTGAAAGGTGAATGTTCCACCTCATAGTGAAAATGGCAACAGTGAAGCTACATTTACTAAATTTCAGGTCAGGCGCAAAATATGTCACTTGTTGGAGAAGCAATTATTTCATGAACATATTCCTCACCTTTTGGCATAATGCTCATTTGCCGCACTCTGCTCTATACTAAAAGTGGCAAATACAAAGGTATTCTGAATGTCACAGGGAAAAGGTATTTCTCAACTACGTCCAGTATCGTTCTCCAAAAGGATTTTCTAACCTTCACCTCCCCTGCGGCATTTTGTTTTATAAATGTAAAATTCAATAAAGTTGAGAGAAACGTTATACAATAATACATATGGATTATAGAGGGGTTTCATGCTGAATCGTGGTTCTGGTGAATTCGCTGTCAAAGCTGCCATTGGTTGGAAATGTTTATTGTTTTGTATGCACTGCCCGTGAAAATTGTCTATGTTTCTAGTGTAAATAAGGTTCTCTGTGAGCTGAGACCCTGAGGCCACATCGTGCTCCCCCAATCTCCTCATGGACAACACCCCAAACACTGCAGAGAGCATGGAGAACTCCACAGTCCCCCATCACCGCAAAGCAGTGCTCTGGGGCCACTCTCTGTGTGGCCCAGTGGAGGGGAAACTTATGGGCTGGCCAGAGAAAGGGCATGAGCCTGGGCAGTGTTTCCCACAGCATAGATCCACTGACCTAAAGCCTTACACGTGTGGGAGGAGGCTGTACATTGCAGCCCACATGTACTGGGGTACAGAGGAGAACTAGGCTCTACTTGAAGCCTTTGAACTGGGGCTGCGGACAGGGAGTTCTGGATTTGTCCTTGAGCTGTATATGTCTACTTCTTATTAACTGCAAGCCAAATCTACTTGTGAAATCTTACTCTGTTGCCTGTCTCCCATGTTTGGAATTCTCAGGTTCCAAAGTCATAGTTCATCTATGATAGTCATTTTAAAAATGTAGCAGTCAGACTTTATCTCTACTGGTTGATATTAAAGTCCATAGGCCAATGAGTTTCTAGTTAGGTAGTAATGGAGTCACATGGCCTGAGAGAAAAGGCTGGGATTTAAGATTAACTATTATGTGTCTGCATGTATAATGTGTGAAATGGCAGAGCTGACAGAGAAATAGTCCAAAGCCTTTCCTGCACCCTAACCTCTACATCATAAAATAAAGTAAATATCATAAGGATTCAAATTCCTTGCTCCATTATTATCTGAACTGACAAAATTGGAAGATATAAGTTTCCTAGATCAACCACCTTTTTTGCAGGCAGTGTTTCTGGCTCTGGAAACCTTTGTTCAGAAAGGGGGAAAACCATTACAAAAGTTGTGGTGTAGTCTTACTAACGGTAATATGGTACCATTTTCTCAACACATTTATCATGATCTGGTCAAATTTTAGTATTTAAAACATTCTCAATAGAATCACTTGTATAAGAACTGATGAGGATTCCTCACAAATCTGCAGATTTCTTCAATTCATTACAGAGAGAACTATAACAATTTTCATTTCCTAAAACACTTTGTGCAAGCAACCAAGGACAAAACCATTCTGCCATCTCCAAAACTGCAAATCCTGGTATTGTCAAAGAATCTCCTTGTGAAAAATCTCATTTACCTCTGAAGATGCAATATTACATGTTACAGTTCATGATCAGGGATTACAAACACACACACGTATATATTACAGTGAACGCGCATATAAAAAGGATATGTTATCTATGTATCTTCTCTGAATTACCTATGTCCTGTCTACACTGGGCGGGTTTGCTGTAAACGTCTACCGTCCACACACCGACCCAGCCATTGCCTGCTGCGTTTATAAGATGTGTTAATAAAAGTAAATAACATCGAAATGTTTAGCACTTACAATGGCTTCAACTCATCAGGCTGCAGACAGCACTTTTCAAACACTAAAACATTGCATTGTTCCTTTTTTAATGGTCTCATGGTTGTACAGTATTTACATGTTCTGAGCCTTTTTATCTTTTTCTGGACTGACAGGACAGAAAAAAGGATTGTTTAAAAGAAAATACCACCCTTCGGAGAAAAATGCTAGCATTGCATCCTCCTCCTCCTCCCCTGTTTTGTGAGCACAACTGCTCACCAAAGGAAATAACAATAATAAGACTCAATGTTGACCTCACTTACACCAGTATAAATTGGGAGTAACTGCACTGATGTCAGTGGAGTTAACCAGTGTAAAACTTGTATATGGGAAATCAGGATCTCGCCCCGAGTTTGAAAAACAGCAGAAAGAACTGCGTAAATGTAAATGCATATCTTGTGCTAACCACGCATTTCCTTTGAGAAATCTAAAGATAACAAAAGAACATGATGACTCCTTTTCCTTATAGATGTAGCGGTTGATGATAGTCAACTTTCTTTAACAATTCAGTAAATAAGTTAATGAACATTTTCTGAACATTTCCTTTTGTAACCATAATTTTGACTATCACTAATTCTACACTCCTCTCCTCCTCCACTGAAATAGAAAGCACAGATGGTGGAGGGGAAAGTGAACTGAGATTGACCTCCTCTCTCTCCCATCACTAACACTGTATGAGGCATAGCTCACACAAGTCTCTTATTTCCTTCTGTAAACAATTTAAACTGCAATCTGAAACCTGGAATCTCTTCACTATAAACTGTTATTGAGGGGTTTTACAAAAAAGTATTTCCTCTTGCTTAACAGCATATGTCTGGTTTGCACTAGGGATGAAAATAAAGCCATGTCAGCCACAAAACAATTATTCCAAGATATGCCTGAGACACATCTTGAGCTTTCAGATAACAAAAAGATTTATCACAAGTTCCTGAGCTCACTACAGGAATAACTGAGTGAAATTCTATGGCCTGTGTTATACAGAAAGTCAGACTAGCTAATCTAATGCTCCAGTCTGACTTTAAAATCTACTAATCACTGCTTCTGGGAAGTGGTAGCCATGAAATTCTAGACCATAAATTGAATGGGGCTTCTAATTCACTAATTCAGCTAATTAATTCTTCACATTTCCTTAGATCAGAGAATTTTTGGCAAGCTACGTCAAAATAAGTAAGGGGAACCATGGTTACACTTTTTCTCCCTGTTACATATATCATACAAGTAGAATATTTAGGTTGCTTTAAATGTTCATAGATATCTCTCTCCACTGATTTTTTTCATGTGCTATCTACCACTTAATTGGAGAGGCTGATCACACTCAGTCCATATACTTTCTTCAGTAGTCTCGGAATCATCTTGCACCTGGAGGCAAAATCTTTCCTTACTGAGGATTGATATATTTCCAAGATCCAGTTGAGTCCAGCTGCCCAGGAGTGTTAATGCATCATACAAATGAATACAGCTTTCTCCGGATTTTTGCTGATGGCAGTTGGGGGAAGGTCACATGATGCTGTAGTAAAAGCGTGATAGAAAAATATAGAAGTGGTTAATGGTGACAAAAGTATCAATGGTAGGCTTGCAAAAGGAGGCAATGGAGGTTTGAAGAGGGTTTAATGATGTAGGTGATTTTGTTCATATAGGTATAGAATAAACTTACGGAGCATAAAGATTAATGAGGTATTTCTCAAATTTACAGTTAAATTATATTGGCTTCTAACAAACACTATACAATATAAAATATATTTAAGCACTGGCTCTGATTTTCAGGTGCAGTCAAGCTATAAATAGCCCAAAGACAAGGATGGGCAAAGGTGGCACAGTGTACCTCAGTTATTCTTGGACTAGCCAGAGGTTTGGCTTGTTTGGCTCCCAGTGCCAGTTAGAGCAGCTTCAGGGCCTATGGTCTCAATGAGTCATTGCTACCTTGAGGAATAGCCAGAGCTCAGTGCCACTTCAGCTACATCTTCTTTTCCCCAACCATGTCCACATCACTGGCTGTGAGCAGGATGGCACAGAGATGTACACTGTCTCTATACCATGCTGGGACTCCTCAATGGCTGGATCCTCCAGCTTTATAGGCCCATTGTGCTGATGGAACCTATAAAAGGTTGTAGCTCAACGATGAATTGTGCCCAATATCTTATATAAAAATAAATTAGTATTTGCATGTGTGTATGATTTTATGGGCTGCCTCGTAAACTAGGCAGTGGGACTTGACACCAATCCTTTAGCTCTCTGGCCCTGGTTCTCCATCTGGTTCAGTCTCTGTTCAGCCCCTTTCCGGGTGTGTGTTGTGGGGGAAGTAACACTTCCACGTACAGTCCCTTCCCTTGGCCTGTCTACATTCCCTTTTCTCAGGGCATATTGGCTTCCCCAGTGGCTGTTGGGCTGACTCCCCAAGCCTGCCCATTACTCTGAGCCCCAACCCAGGGACCCTCTAAGTACTAGCCACATGCCATGACCTTTTAACTAACTGTGTTTCCTTGGGCCACTTCCCCGCAGCCGTTATCTTTGTCAAGTCCCAGGGGCACCTTCCTTGCTCCCCGAGTCCTTCCCAGCAGACTGAATTCACTGTGGCCCCTTTATATGAGCCTGCTGGGCCCTGATTGGCTGCTCCTATAGCCTCTTTCCTGATTGGCTGTGTCCCATGCAGCTTCTCTAGGGAGCTTAGAAGACCCTCTCCATTGCCCATTTTCTGGGCCCAGTGGGCCAGCCTGTATTCTACGTTGGTTCCACAGCCTGCCAGGTATATCAGCTGACAGCTTCTTCAGTTCATCCTCATCCCCAATACCTGCCCTTTTTGTGGAGTGAGGGAGACCCTGGCATATGTCTGTTTGGAGTGTGCCACGTGCAGCCCCCTTTTCCGACTCCTCCAGAACCTTCTCCTAAGGTTCTGGTTGCACTTTTCCCCAAACCTCCTGATCTATGCAAATCCAGTCCGTAGCCCCATGAAGTCGTGAGACCTCCTCATCAACCTCCTCCTGGCGTTGGCCAAAGTGGCCATATAACACCAGCAGGGGGATGCTGGGCGAGGCGGGTGCTCTGCGACTGTGGGGCCTACTTTTTTTCCTCCTTTGGCTCTTGTATCCGGGCAGAGTTCCTCTGGGCAGAGTCTGTTGGCTCCCTAAGACACCTTTGAGGAGCAGTGGATGCTGTCTGAGGTTCTCTATATAAGAACAGCCATACTGGGTCAGACCAAAATTAATAGGCAGCAGGTTTAAAACAAACAAAAGGAAGTATTTTTTCACACAATGCACAGTGGAACTCCATGCCAGAGGATGTTGTGAAGGCCAAGACTATAATGGTTCAAAAAAGAACTAGATAAGTTCATGGAGGATAGGTCTGTGATGGGCTGTCACCCCTGGGATGAAGTCTGAGAGCTGTGGAAACCACTGGGCCCCTCTAACCACCAGGGCCAACGAGAGGGTGCGGGAAGCCGGTACAAATTATCGGGGCCCGGCGGTCTGGAAGGGGGCCCGGGGCCCAACTATGTTGCATATGTTTTTGTCTTTCATTTGTATACCAGGCAGGACATATTTGTTTTTTGTTTAATATAACATATGTGATTTTAATTTAAGTTTTTTTTAAATGTTCTTTAAATTTTTTATATGTTCTTTAAGAATAAATGTTTTCTTTTCCTATTCCATGTTTCATTTGTATACCAGGCAGGGCATATTTGGTTGGTTTTTTTGCACATCAATACATCCCGTGTAAAGATTTTTAGCCAATCTGCCCTTGCGTGGGGGGGGGGGGGGGGCGGAAAAATGTTTTTCACCGGGGCCCGAACCCGCTCTCGGCGGTCCTGCTAACCACTCAATTGGGTTGGCCCTGTTCATATTGCTTGGGGACACGGCCAGCCTAACCCAGGCCCTTTTATCAACCAACACGACAGCAGGTGGCGCCACACATCCTCAGACCATTTCTCCAATTTGTCCAGATCATTTTGAATTATGACCCTGTCCTCCAAAGCAGTTGCAATCCCTCCCAGTTTGGTATCATCTGCAAACTTAATAAGCGTACTTTCTATGCCAACATCTAAGTCGTTAATGAAGATATTGAACAGAGGTGGTCCCAAAACAGACCCCTGCGGAACCCCACTTGTTATGCCTTTCCAGCAGGATTGGAAACCATTAATAACAACTCTCTGAGTACGGTTATCCAGCCAGTTATGCACCACCTTATAGTAGCCCCATCTAAATTGTATTTGCCTAGTTTATCGATAAGAATATCATGCGAGATTGTATCAAATGCCTTACTAAAGTCTAGATATACCACATCCACAGCGTCTCCCTTATCCACAAGACTCGTCATCCTATCAAAGAAAGCTATCAGATTGGTTTGACACGATTTGTTCTTTACAAATCCATGCCGGCTATTCTCTATCACCTTACCACCTTCCAAGTGTTTGCAGATGATTTCCTTAATTACTTGCTCCATTATCTTCCCTGGCAAAGAAGTTAAACTAACTGGTCTGTAGTTTCCTGGGTTGTTTTTATTTCCCTTTTTATAGATGGGCACTATATTTGCCCTTTTCCAGTCTTCTGGAATCTCTCCCGTCTCCCATGATTTTCCAAAGATAATAGCTAGAGGCTCAGATACCTCCTCTATTAGCTCCTTGCGCATTCTAGGATGCATTTCATCAGGCCCTGGTAACTTTCAGGCATCTAACTTTTCTAAGTGATTTTTAAGTTGTTCTTTTTTTATTTTATTTGCTAAACCTACCCCCTTCCCATTAGCATTCACTATGTTAGGCATTCCTTCAGACTTCTCGGTGAAGACCGAAACAAAGAAGTCATTAAGCATCTCTGCCATTTCCAAGTTTCCTGTTACTGTTTCTCCCTCCTCACTGAGCAGTGGGCCTACCCTGTCTTTGGTCTTCATCTTGCTTCTAATGTATTGATAAAAAGTCTTCTTGTTTCCC